AGGGTTTTTTTTTTTTTTTTTTTTTTTTTTTTTTTTTTGTGTTAAAATTGTGATCGGGGTTGATCCCGGAGAGGAATAAAATATGGTTGGATGTGCAAAGCTATATGGTATGAATGGAAGTGAAAAAAGATGAAAAAATAATGTGAAAGAAAAATAAAGAAAGAAATAATAAAAATATAATTGAAATCAAAAAGGAAAGATGGGGAAAATAAGGAAAGTTGGTTGGAGAAAATAAATAAAAATAATGGAGTTTGAAAGCAATCGAAGGAGAGATGATGTTTGTTTTTTTTTTTTGTTTTTTTTTTGCACACTACCAGCAATGGGTTTTGCATAGTGGTTTGATTGGAGATGGGGCCCGCCACTACACATGTTGGGCATCTAATATTGTTGTTAAAGCCATGTTTGAGGAGCTGCTTTTGGGTAGTGGGATTTTTTATTCTTTAAAATCATGCTGTGTATCCCCCCGAGAGAGAAGAGGAGGATGGTCTGTGCAAGAGATGTGCAAGATATTAAAATAAACATAGATATATATATATATATAGATATATTAAAATCAGAGAAAGTTGAGTGGGGTTTGCTCTGCAGTCTTCAAGACAATAGTATTACCACATGCGAGTGCAGGACCAACTTTCCAAGCAAACATGAGAACAGGAAAGTGCCAGGGAATAATCTGCCCTGAGAAGCTTCGACAGTATCGACGGCGTACGGAGGATCAACGCCGCCGGAGAGCGACGGCGAACCGTGAGGAAGTCGGCGGAGAGAGTGAAACCAGAAAGTACTGAGGTGAGCAAGAGTCACAGGCTGATCACATGCATAGGTTAGCACCACTGCATCTGCACGCTTCAATTCCTCCGCAAGCTGCCCTCGACTCGCCAAACGGGAAGAAGTATCGAAGATAGTAACGGGGATGCCGTCGGGGTAGAAGTCGGAGGGGAGGCGAGTAGGAGGCAAAACGGAGGGGACGCTTTCGGGAAAGTTTTCGGAAGCGGCGGCGGCGATCAAGCTTGATTTGCCGGTGCCGCGGTTGCCCACGACGGCGACGCGGACGGTGGTGCGGCCGCCTGCCATTGGAGAGCTGCTGCAATCAATGATCTGCGTAGAGCAGAGAGAGAGAGAGAGATCAAGCATCGCTTGTGTATATGAGCTGGTCTGTGGTCTGTGTGGAGGATGGGTCTGAAAAGCTTGGTTGATACTTGGAGAGCTGCTGCAAGCAGACTAGGTTGAGGTCCGGCGGGCGGCTAAGGTGAGGTTGCCGCCCGCCGGGGAAGCGAAAATACTAGATTCTTAAACCTGCTCTGATACCATGTAAGTAATTGATGTATTATTGATTGATATCTGATTGATTGTATTGATTGATTTTGATGTATTACAAGATTGATTAATTACAATTCCTATGTGAAACAGATAAGATAAGATACTCAATTTTCCAACAAAAGCTATCTATTAGTGAAACCACAATGCCTTGTTACACGTCACTCTAAATAATCTAGACAAGAGTTACAAGTTAAAAACTAGATAAATTATAGAATGGATTGGGAGGCAAAAAAACACAATTAAGGATATGGTAAAAATAGATAAAGTTGTATCTCTATAGAGAGAGATAAATTATAGAATAAAATGTCCATAGACAGAAAAAGAAAGATAAATTATGGAATAAAAACAAAGATGTATAAATAGGTCTCTTTTATGTGTACAAAGGCATCACCCACTTCACAACCATTTGGTCCCTACACCATCTAACTACAGACTATGGTAAGTCTTAGTTCATTCTAATTCTCTCTCATCTTTTTCTCTTTATTCAGTTCTGTTATCAACACAAAAACCAAATACAAAATACATATGGATAAGATTTTTAAGTGTTGGGAGAACCCACTTTTAAAAAATCTTATATAAAATTTTGTGATCGGTTTCTGTGTTTCTGGACTTGTTTCTGTGTTACAGACAAAAATAAACACATAATAGATATAAATAGACAAGAAAACCCATATTATCTGAAGCTCATCCTTGAGCACCAACCCATGATATAAATAGACAATCCATATTATAAATAGCACTAACCCATATTATAAATAGACAATCCATATTATAAATAGACAACCCATGATATAAATGGCACCAACCCATATTATCTTGCATGTGCCTACATATAAATAGACAAGAAAACCCATCTTATATTCCTAACCCATGATAGATTCTGAAGCTCATCCTTGAGCACCAAAACCCATATTATCTTGATAACTTTTCTAACAATCAGCATTCTTATGGAAATTCGAAATCTAGGCACATGCAAGTGGGAAAAGAGCATGATACCCCTGGTAAAGCCCAAAATTTCAGCAATTAAAAAATTCTAAAATCCCACTATTATAACTTCCATTTACCAACACTAAGGAAACCAAAAACATCAAACCAACCACTATGCACCATTTCATCAATGTTCTTTGAAAGGCACCAGAACAAGCCAAGTAGTTGGTAGTTTCTAAACTAAATCTAATCCAATAAAATTGTGCTCAAATATGATTTGAGCAAACTTAAAGTCTTCAATGTGACTAACCGGCACAAGAATTTTCAGCTTTATCAAATAACCCCAAATATTTGTTGCTATCTAAAATTTTGCATCATTTTTTAATGTGACTAAAGTCTTCCATAAAGTCTTCAATGTGACTAAAGTCTTCAGTGTGTGTTAATATTTGTATCATTTTTTTAAATTTTGCAAGCTGGCAAAGGTCGGACAGGCTTGATGGTATTTGCTTACCTTGTTTATAGTGGCATGTCAGCAGAGGAGGCTCTTCAAGTGTATGCACATAAACGGACCACCAATAATGAAGGAGTAAGTCATATTATGTATAAAAGGCTATCATGTAGGACTTTGTGAAGTAAATGACAACGAAATGCAATTTAGCAGTTTGCACATTTTCAGTTTCCAAATTGGTTCACTAAGGAACAGGGACGTGTATGGGTCGGTTTGGTTTGGGTGGGCAACTAGCAGAATCAAACCAAGAAACCTTGGGTTGGTTAGGGCTACTTAATATTGAACTATCTATACGTTAATAAATTGAACATAAAAAAGGATGGTATTAGATTCATTAGCCAGTCTTGACTTTTGGTAGTTATGAGTATTTTGTTTAGAAGTTCATTGATCTGCATGTATTGGACAGGTCTCAATACCAAGCCAACGACGTTATGTAGGGTACTGGGAGAATACACTTTCTATTCCTAGGGGAGTTGATCATGGCCCTCTATCTGTGAACTCGCCTGAACCATGTAGCAGAGAATTGGTTCGAATTCGACTTTATGACACGGTTAACATTGGCTCTGTCTTCTTTGTGGTCTCAGAGTTACAAGAGATAAGTCCATCTTTGGTGAATATCATTTTTTTTTTTATCAAATAACCCCAAATATGATGTGTGCATTGAAGCATAAAAACAGAACTCAATGTCAGAAGCCTCAAAAAAACACAACCACCTCACAAATTCAACAAGAACAATATTATGGAATTGCAATGCATCAGGGAAACAGAAAAATAGCACAAACCATGACATTAACACACACCTTATCTTCCCAAATGCAGAAAAAATCGTGTGAGTGACCAGCATTGAAGGCTTAGACGAAACTCTTGGCTCAGCAAACCAGCGAGATGGAACACCTTCCAACACAATTGTATCAGGCTGCTGCTGCCTTCTACCTCTTGAATATCCTACAACCAAACAACACATACATACATCCATTATTACCAGTAGTTCTCGCAAAATTATTAAGCATTTAGAAGAAAAAATATTGAGTTAGATTACTGAATCCATTATTGTAGACAGCAAGACCAGTAAGCATCAAAAATTCAAAACTATGGATAGAATCAAGAACAAACCTCGATTACCAAACGCATTAAGCTCTTCCCACTTTTTCCTCATTCCAAAATCATCCGATTCCGGAACTGAAACAGTCAATCTAAACTTAACACCTTCAAGATTCAACTCAATCCCGTCGGTCTTACCAACAACCGATCTTCTCCAGTCCAGAAACTTCTTCTCACGTTCCTTAACATCGTCTTCTCCATCTATACCATGAAGAATTTCTGATCTGGAAAACTTGGATAGAAACCCTAGGTCGCAGATGAAGAGAGCGCCCTGAGCGACAGGATCATCGCGCTTGCGCTTCTTGAGGTCCTTGAATTTGCGAACGACGATGTCGTCTTCGGGAACGGTGAGGGAGAAGGAGGATTTGAGGAAGTCGGTGAGGGAGCGCTTGAGTTGCCACTCGTCGAGGGACTTGACGGAGTGGTCTGCACAGTGGATAGTGAGGAGGAGCTGAAGAGGGAGTGTGTTTTTGGAGAGAGAAATGGGGGGGAGGGGAACTAATAAAAACACAAAAAAAGGGGGAAAATTAATAGCCAATTTTTTTTTCATTAGCTGCTCAATATTTCAAAATTCTCCCTCTAAAATTTGTGATAAAATAACTTTTCCACCAAAAGATCTCAAAATATTAAAAATTATAGGTCATGAAAACATAGTCATCACCAAATGATATCAAAATATTTAAACTGATTGGTGACAAAAATATATTCCTTACTAATAATTTTATAATTTGTGACAAATTTTTTCCTCACCAAAAGTCTCAAAATTTTAGCACCATCCGAACAAATTTAGACGATTTTTTTTTTATGATGAAACTTAATTTTTTCTTACATAAAAAGAAGTATTTATTGACAAAAATAAATTTCCTGACCTTTTACTTTTTATTTTTATTTTTATTATATGTGACAAAATTTATAATTTGTCACAAATTAATCTTATTTAGCGACAAAAATGTGTTTTGTTTTGAGAGAGAGAGAGAGAGAGATAAGAGGAAAACTGATAAAAACAAAAAAGGGGAAAAAATTAGTAGTCTATTTTTTTTCATTACTGTCCAATATGTCAAAATTCTCTCTCCAAAATTAGTGACAAAATAATTTCTCACCAAAAAGACTCAAAATATTAAAAATTTCAATTCTCGATCGACAACTGATGTGATGTTAGATGTTAGATCCTCGTCAACTGATATTCACCAGAGAGAGATGCAAGAAAGGAAGAGAAAAAGGGGGATAGGATGTCGACTATGAGAGACCGATCGACAACGAGAAGAGAGAAAGTGAAGGGGATCGGCGACGAGAAGAGACCCCTGCTAATTGTCCCTTTTTCATCAAAGAGAATAATGGAGAGAGAGAGAGAGAGAGAGAGAGAGAGAGAGTCTCACCGTCGTTGATGAGAGAGAGTGAGGGGGTCGGTGATGAGAAGCTTCTGGATCGAGAGAGCACAAATAAAGGAGAGATGAGAGAATGAAAAGGATGAAGAGAGAGAGAGAGAGAGACCAAGTGGTCTGATGATCCCAACAAAAATACTTTTTAAGTAATTATTTTTTTCAAACAATAATCTCAAGTGATTTTTAATTTTTTTTAATGGTGGAGTGAATTATATATATTTTTAAATTTTAAATTTTTGTTTAGTTAGGTATAATATAAATATTTAATTCTTTTTATAAAAAAAATTAAAACTCATAAAAGACAAAAAAAAAAAAACAAGTGACGTTGTTTAACAATCGGTGGCCAAATTTTTTTTGTCGCAAAAAATTTCCATTCTTGCCCCCACATTTCAAATTTCCCTCCCAAACTTTTGGCGACCAAAAGACCAGATTAGTCGCAGAAAATGTACCTTCGCCGACAAACTTTTTTAGTCGCCAAAACTCAATCAACGGCGACTAAAATATTAGTCACTAAAAGTACTAATTTGGCGACAAAACTTTTTTTGGTTGCTGAAAATAAGCTTTTGGCGACCAAATTTTTGGTCGCCAAAGAAAATAAGTAATATTTTATTTTCCATTTGGCGACTAAATTGTTTTAGTAGCCAAAATTCAATATACGGCGACTAAAATATTTTTAGTCGCTAAAAATAAGTTTTTTGGCGACCAAAATTTTGGTTGCCAAAAGATAAAAAATAATTTTTTATTTTTCATTCAGCGACTACATTGTTTTAGTAGCCAAAAATCAATATGCGGCGACTAAAATATTTTTAGTCGCTAAAAATAAGTTTTTTGACGACAAAAATTTTGGTCGCCAAAAGAATTTTTTTTTTTATATTTTCCATTCGGCGACTACATTGTTTTAGTAGTCAAAACTCAATATACAGCGACTAAAATATTTTTTGTTGCTAAAAATAAGTTTTTGACGACCAAACTTTTGGTCGCCAATTCCACAACCAACTTATTTTTGATTCTCCGTGACCAACTTATTTTTTGGTCGCCAAAATGTGACCTTCCGCGTCCAAATTTGTATTTGGTCGCCAAAACCATACCACTTTCTGCGACCAACTCATTTTTTGGTCGCCAAAATATGACCTTCTGCGACCAACTCATATTTGGTCGCCAAAAATAATGATCATTTGCGACTAATTAATATTTAGTCGCTAAACGGTAACTTTGCGCTACCAACTTTTATATTGGTCGCAGAAAGTGGTCGCTAAAAGTGTAGATTCTTGTAGTGAGAAAAGAGAATTGTAATCTAATTAAGTAATCATCATTGTTTAATAAACATAATTTTTTATATAACTAATTTGTTCAACAGGTCTTCAAATCACAAAGATGGATCCATTCACAGCCACATAAGTTAGGCATTTTTTAAAAAGTGTATATATATATATATTGTAATTGGCTTAAAATCTATTAGTAGGAGTACCTATGAAATGTCTAACTATGGTATAGATTAATGTGTTAACACCATCAGGTTTATTGTAACCAATAGTTTCATCAAAGATAGGTAAATCATTTTCATCTTTTTAATTAGCATGTAAAATAGATTCTCTTTGGTCTTCAGTTAAGTATTTTTCCCACCATGATTTGAGCATACCAGTAAAACCAGAAGTGATTAAAAAAGCAATTTCAGGTTGAGTGTAATCAGGGTAATTACTAAAATAACTATTTGCAACCATAGATAAATGATTTAACTTTTGAAGTATTTGATCTTCACTAAGACCATCAATATTCCATTCGTACAATTTTTTAGCAGATACAGAAAATTGATTATTAAGATTAGTTTCTTCATATTGGAGATCAGGAGGAGTAGGTCTAGAATACCAGTTTTTAGTAAGAGATGTAGGATTAGGCTTAGGATATTGAATTTTATTCAGATTAGAGGATTGAAATTGTTGAGCTAATTGATTAATTTCATCATCAGTTGTATTAGTTTCAGATTGATGAGAAACAGTATCGATACTAGGTTGTTGATTTAATACAGTAAGACATTTTTCAGTAGAAGGAGAGGCTTTCTCAGAAGTAGTTAATTTGGTAAGTAATTGTTTTATGGCTTTAACAGTAGTATTATCTTGGGTAACTAAACTATTTCGTTTGGAACGATTACTTGGTAGATTAAGCAAATGTTGATCTAAGAATTGTTTAGTAGATGTATTGTTAGCCGAATAATCATCTAAATTGGTTTCTATTTTATCTAATTGTTTACTAATTATTTTTGAACATTAATTAGTATAATTATTTTGTTCAATAACTTTTCTAATTTCAGCGTCAGTACTAGGCAGCTTAAAATGAGCGGCTGGGACATCAGATCCTTGGTGTTCAATAATTATATTAGTTAATGGAGGATGACTAGAACTAACATAAGTATTTGGAGAAGTTTTCCATTTATGTTTTGTGATTGTATTAACCTTTTTGTAATAGTTGTCTAAATATTCAAAGAAAGGAATTTCCATTCTATATTCAATCATAAAATCATACCATTTTCTAGTAAGTTTAGATTGTTGAGTAGAATCATATTTAGCACGATAAGCATGTCTTTTAGTCCTATTTTCTTTAGATTTAAATTCAGCATGTAATTTATCAAGATCAGGAGCAAAAGATTTACTAATTGTCATTAATTGAGGAATTATTGGAGGTATTACTTCAAAATCAGTTTGAGTAGGAGAATTATTTGATTCACAGTATCTTTTTCAGGTAAATGTGTGTGAGTAGAGTAAACATGTTTACTAATTTGAGAAGTGGTAGAGTTATCAATGCCTTTTAATTTACTATGGGAGGGTTGACCGAGATTAATTTGACTATTTTTTCGGAATAAAGGAGTATTAAATATTTCATCTTCAGTTTCAACATCAGTAGGTATACTAGAAGTACTATGTCTAGAAGATTGACTACGATTAAATTTAATACGGACTAAACCGTCAGTAAATTGTTGAATATCTTGGATATCTTGACTAGTGGATTGTTATTGATTATGTTTGTAATTTTCATTGACCGTAATCCATTGATCAGGGAGGGTAATATCTTTCCATTCTATCATTTGAGGGATATTTATATTAGTATCATTGTTACTAGTTTGAATCAGTAATGTTTCATCCTTAGGACTTTTATGTAAAGCTTGAACATTTAAATTGGTTTTAATACATTTATAATGGACACGATAAATTAAAGCAATATTATGAGTTTTTTCTTTCATATTAGTAAATGAACCATTTAATTGAATATTTAAAGTTAATGCATCTAATATTTGTGGATCTCTAAGACCGAGTGTGAAATCAGGAAAACAATTAAAATGAATAGGTCTTTTGTAAAGACTAGTTTCCACCATACCCATTAAACTATCATTATAATCAATAAAACGAGCATCTTTTAAACATAATAAAACAGAAACATTTTTACCTTGTGGAGTTAATGGTTTGATTCCAACTTGAATTAATCCTAAATGAATAAAATTGTGACCAGTTTTTAAATGACGTTTAATAGTGTTAGCATCAAATAAGTGACAGGTTTTTCTAGGCTTTTCTAAAGTATAAACTTGTTCTAATGTTTTAACATGCAGATTAACATTAAAAGCAGATTGTAAAAACGTAGTTTTATAAATCTCTTTAACTGATAATTTTGGTATATTCCAACTTAAATCTAGTTTATTATTTTGTATTTCTAATTCTTCTTCATTAATTACTAATCCTTGATTAGGTATTGAGGGCAAAGTTGTTGACCTAGAACTGACTGAAGAGTTATTTCTAAATAATCGACTCATTTTTCTTTAATTAAATTGTTTAACAAGAATCTTAATACATTGACTAAATTTATCATGTTTTCACATACTAGGCTTTCACACATACCCATTTCAGAGGACCCCTAAAATCCAACACTGTCTAACCAAAGGACTGACCAAGGACAGGGACAAAGATTGGGTGGCTAGTAACAAAGTGGAAAACACAGATATAATTTTTGACAGATTAAGACGACTGGAAACAGATTAACAGACAGAAAATAGAGTTGACTCAACAGAAGTAGCAAAGCAGTAAACAAGAGATAGCAACATAACTTGGCTTTAATATAATTATTGAACACCAAGGATCTGATGTCCCAGCCGCTCCTTTTAAGCTGCCTAGTACTGACCCTGAAATTAGAAAAGTTATTGAACAAAATAATTATACTAGTCACTGTTTAAAAACAATTGGTAAACAATTAGATAAAATAGAAACCAATTTAGATGATTATTCGGCTAATAATAAATCTACTAAACAATCCTTAGATCAACCTTTGCTTAATCTACCTAGTTATCGTTCCAAACGAAATAGTTTAGTTACTCAAGATAATACTACTGTTAAAGCCATAGAACAATTACTTACCAAATTAACTACTTTTGAGAAAGCCTCTCCTTCTACTGAAAAATGTCTTACTGTATTAAATCAACAACCTAGTATCGATACTGTTTCTCATCAATATGAAACTAATACAACTGATGATGAAATTAATCAATTAGCTCAACAATTTCAATCCTCTAATCTGAATAAAATTTAATATCCTAAGCCTAATCCTACATCTCTTACTAAAAACTGGTATTCTAGACCTACTCCTCCTGATCTCCAATATGAAGAAACTAATCTTAATAATCAATTTTCTGTATCTGCTAAAAAATTGTACGAATGGAATATTGAAGGTCTTAGTGAAGATCAAATACTTCAAAAGTTAAATCATTTATCTATGGTTGCAAATAGTTATTTTAGTAATTACCCTGATTACACTCAACCTGAAATTGCTTTTTTAATCACTTCTGGTTTTACTAGTATGCTCAAATCTTGGTGGGAAAAATACTTAACTGAAGATCAAAAAGAATCTATTTTACATGTTAATAAAAAAAATGAAAATGATTTACCTATCTTTGATGAAACTATTGGTTACTATAAACCTGATGGTGTTAACACATTAATCTATACCATAGTTAGACATTTCATAGGTACTCCTACTAATATATTTTAAGCCAATTACAATATATATATATATATATATACACTTTTTAAAAAACCTAATCATAAACCTAAGTTTCATAAGCCTATTATTAGTCTATCTAAAACCTTAGAAAGATTTAAAAATAAACACAAAGAAGTTACCTTATAAGATTTACAACAAGAAATTAATTGGATTAAACAAACCATTAAAGATTTACAAAATAAAGATCAACATTTAGAAGATGAAATTATTGCATTAAAACTTGATAAAAATTTAGATAATTTTCAAACCAATAATGTTTCTCCTAATGAATCTGAACATGAATCTGATGAACCTACTAACCCTGATAATCTTTTATTAGATAATCGATCACATCAATCTCAATCTCATAATCATGAAGATAATAGATTAAATCTCCTTAATAAAATCCATATTCAAAAATGGTATTCTAAAATTAAAATAGTTATTAATAATTTTGAATTAGATGTTATCGCTTTAATTGATATTGGTGCCGATCTTAATTGTATTCAAGAATGATTACTCCCTACTAAATATTATGAAAAATGCCGTGAAAAATTAACTTCTGCTAATGGTAGTAAAATGCATATTAAATATAAAATACCTAAAGTTCATATATGTCAAAATAATGTTTGCTTTAAAACTTCATTTGTTTTGGTTAAAAACATGACTGATAAAGCTATTTTAGGAACACCATTTATATTTTTACTATACCCATTTACCACCTCTAGTGAAGGAATAACTACTTATGTTTTAGGTCAACCTGTTACTTTTAAATTCTTATCTCTTCCTGAAATATTAGAATTAAATCAATTAAAAGATTGTTCTATTTCTTAAACGATTAATTGATTAACTCGTCATTTAAGATATCTTGAAGAAGAAATTAATTACAAATGAATTGATCAACAATTAACTAATCCCGTTATTATTTCTCAAATTAATGAATTTAAATTAAAATTAGAAACTACTGTTTGTTCTACTTTACCTACTGCATTTTTGCATAAGAAAAACATGTAATCACAGTACCATATATTAAGAATTTTCATGAAAGTCAAATTCCTACTAAATCTAGACCTATTCAAATGAATTATGAATTACTTGAAATGTGTAAAAAAAAAAAAATCAATGAACTATTAAAAAATAGAATAATTAGTCCAAGTAAATCACTTTAGTCATGTCCTGCTTTTTATGTGAATAAATATGCTGAATTAGAACGAGGTGTCCGTCACTTAGTCATTAATTATAAACCATTAAATAAAGTTTTAGAATGGATTCGATATCCTATTCCTAATAAAAAAGATTTGATTAAAAGGCTTAGTCAAGCTGCTATTTTTAGTAAATTTGATTTAAAAAGTGGTTTTTGGCAAATGCAAATTCATCCTAAAGATAGATATAAAACTGCTTTTACTATGCCTTTTGGTCACTATGAATGGAATGTCATGCAATTTGGATTAAAAAATGCTCTTAGTGAATTTCAAAATATAATGAATGATATTTTCAATCCATTTAGTCATTTCTCCATAGTTGATATAGATGATATTCTTATTTTTTCAAAATCAGTTAGTGAACACTGGAAACATCTTACTGCATTCTTTTATACCATTAAGAGTCATGGTCTAGTCATTTCTGCTCCTAAGATTAAATTGTTTTAAACCAAAGTCAGATTTTTAGGTTATGATATTCACCAGAATACTATTTTACCTATTAGTCGTTCCATTGAATATGCGTCTAAATTTCCTGATGAAATCTTAGATAAAACTCAACTACAACGTTTTTTAGAATCATTGAATTTTACAAAGACCTTAAGAAAACTTGTCAACTTATGTTTGATCGGTTAAAAGACAATCCTCCTCCTTAGTCTTCTACTCATACTGCTATTGTTAAACAGGTTAAACAATATGTCAAGTCTCTTCCTTGTCTTGGTATTCCTACTGAAAATTCATTCAAAATTATTCAAATTGATGCCTCTGATATTGGTTATGGTGACATCCTTCTCTAGAAAATTACTCCTCAGTCATATGAACAAATTGTTCGTTATCATTCTGGTGTCTAGAATAAAGCACAAAAGAATTATAGTACTATTAAACAAGATATTTTATCTACTGTTTTATGTATTAGTAAATTTCAAGATGATATTTTAAACCAAAATTTTTTACTTCGTGTTGATTGCAAATCTGCTAAATATGTTTTAGAAAAAGATGTTCAAAATCTTGCTAGTAAGCAAATTTTTGCTCGTTGGCAATCTATTTTAAGTATTTTTAATTTTGAAATTGAATATATACCTGGTTGTCAAAATTCTATTCCTGATTTTCTTACCCGAGAATTTTTACAGGGTGGATAGTGAGTTACATCATGCCCATTCCCTCTATTCCTTACCATAAACACCAGATTAAACACTATAAAACCTTAGTCAAACATACTGTTCGTCGCCTTGCCTTTCTCAAATCAACCCATTTACCTACTAAAAGAGCCCAGTACATACAATTTCATCGGATTAAAGCTTAGAAACAACAACTTTCTCATTATATTAATTGTTTACATGAACATACTGATCAATTAGATATCCTCAGTGGATGCTAATTTATCTCCTCTATTTCACAGATGTCTCGTCCACAGCCTCCTCCAAAGTCTTGGTCCCATCTAGTCAACATTTTGTTCCGCCTCCATTGGAGTTAGTCACCAAATACCATCCTGCTGAATTGGTTAACCGTTACCAAATTCTTGGTAACATTCCTAAACCTAATTATACATCTACTTTGACTACTGATCCTTTTGCTTCATCTAGTCAAGCAGTTACTCCATACCCTCCTAATCGTATTAAATCAGCCCAATCTGATTATGTTAAATCCACCACTACTAATCTTTTTTTCGAAGAACCTAGTCACCCAAAGAGTCATACTGTTCATGATCTAGTTAAATCCTATTTTCCTCCTGGATGGCATTTTATTCCTCTCCATCCAGAAAAAATAATTACTTTCTACAAAGACATCCTGTTCAACCATCAGTCAATTGTGATTAAAGCCATTTATGATCACACTTACACAAGTAAAATTGTGTACCATTCACTTTATATTCACAACTTTGTTTCTCTGGTTGATTAGGGTTCTCCTTATCAACTACGAGATCTGCTTGGTCATTCAATTCAATACAATTACTATGATTACATTGATACTTGGTTCAAAGTTCTCTTGTATCAAAATGAGTCAAACAGTCACTCTTGGTTTCTTCAATTTGATCAAAAGTTCAAATCTGAATTACCTACTTGGTTTCTGCGATGGTGGATTCAGTATGGGGCCATTTCAGAAATCTTCCTATCAGTCATTATGGATCAAGTCAACTATTTTTCCACTATTTTCTCATTCACTCCCCAGCAAAAGGAAATTTCCTCAATTACTTATTTTTATATCCAAATACAAAATCTCTTGGATATTCAAATGGCAATATGGTATTTCTGATGATGTTATTTACCGGCAACATATGGTTAAATGGTGGGATAATTTCAAGATTCCACAAATTGTTGAAATTGTTCAAACTGAATTCCCAATCAACATTCATGCCCCTACACCTGCTATGATTAAAGCTCTGCAGAACCCAACTGTTCCATTAACACAAGGAAGCCAACTTCCTCCAGTCAATCTTGAAAGCCAATCATACAGTTCTTCCAAGCCCAAGTCATCCAAATCAAAGATTAATTCCAAGTCAGCAAAGCCCAGTACTGACCAGCCCAAGTCAAAGGATAAGTCTAAATCAAAGGTTAAGCCCAAGTCCAAGTCATCCAAAGATGAGCTCCTCCAAATGGCTCGTCTCCTTATGGCCCAAGCCAAGTCAAACTCGGATAACAGCAGTTCAGAAGATGGTTCAGACAGTTTAAACTCTTTCAAAGGTTCAACTACTCAAAATCCATATATATGGACCCGAGTTCCAAGATGCTCAGGACCCATATGCTTAATTCAGTCATTGGATTCTATATAGCTATAATTATCAGCTTCAATCAATACTCGTCTTTTGAGAAAAACTGCTAATATATATATCTATATTGATTCCCTCAGTCACATGCCTCCAAGCTATGAATAGCAAAAAAATCAACTTTACTGTTCACTATTCATCAAAAAGTCAACATTACTATTCATCATGATTCATGATTCATCCCATCGACAAATTCAGCACAGTAAAAGCTTTAGTCAATCAGCGAAAGCAGCAGGCAACTCCCATGTGCTTCTAATGCTCCTTTCAAGTCAAGACTATTCACTCACAAGGCTAACAGTGGTCTCTTTTGATTATAAAAGGGCCTCTTCAGTCAAGAATAAGACAGAGTTAGAAAAATTGCGAGCATTCCTTCCTCAAGAAAATAGCTTTCTCTGTAATTTTATAAAATTGTTTTCAGTTTACAAATTATGTATTTTGAAAAACTGCTTGCTTCATTCCAGTAAACAATTGTAAGTTTTATTAATGTTTATTTGAAGTTGTTGTTAAACTGTTTACTGTTTATTATTATTATTTTAGTGTTACTTCCTGTTTCCGATCCCTTTTGGTATCAGAGCCAAGTTATGTTGCTATCTCTTGCTTATTGCTTTGCTACTTCTGTTGAGTCAACTCTATTTTCTGTCTATTAATCTGTTTACAGTTATCTTAATCTGTCAAAATTATATCTGTGTTTTCCACTTTGTTACTAGCCTCCCAATTTTCGTCCCTGTCCTTGGTCAGTCCTTTGGTTAGGCAGTGTTGGATTTTAGCGGTCCTCCGAAATTGGTATGTGTGAAAGCCTAGTATGTGAAAACATGATAAATTTAGACAATGTATTAAGATTCTTTTGAAACAGTTTAATTAAAGAAAAATGAGTTGATTATTTAGAAGTAACTCTTCAGTCAGTTCTAGGTCAACAACTTTGCCCTTAATACCTAATCAAGGATTAACAATTAATGAAGAAGAATTAGAAATACAAAATAATAAACTAGATTTAAGTTGGAATATACCAAAATTATCAGTTAAAGAGATTTATAAAATTACGTTTTTACAATCTGCTTTTAATGTTAATCTGCATGTTAAAACATTAGAATAAGTTTATGCTTTAGAAAAGTCTAGAGAAACCTGCCACTTATTTGATGCTAACACTATTAAACGTCATTTAAAAACTGGTCACAATTTTATTCATTTAGGATTAATTCAAGTTGGAATCAAACCATTAACTCCACAAGGTAAAAATGTTTCTGCTTTATTATGTTTAAGAGATGCTCGTTTTATTGATTATAATGATAGTTTAATGGGTATGGTGGAAACTGGTCTTCACAAAGGACCTATTCATTTTAATTGTTTTCCTAATTTCACACTCAGTCTTAGAGATCCATGCATATTAGATGCATTAACTTTAAATATTCAATTAAATAGTTCATTTACTAATATGAAAGAAAAAACTTATAATATTGCTTTAATTTATCGTGTACATTATAAATGTATTAAAACCAATTTAAATGTTCAAGCTTTACATAAAAGTCCTAAGGATAAAACATTACTGAGACCTCGTTTGGGAACAGGCTAATTTAGTAACTTTTTGGCTATTTGGCTAAAAAAGTAGGTAAAAAAAACTTATATGTTTGGGATGACTTTTTGGCTAATTACGAAAAGATGTGTAAAAAGTAGAGAGAAAAGAGAATCTTTGACTTTTTGGTATGAGTTGTTGGCTTTTTGGCTAAAAGGGTAACTTTTTGACTTTTTGGCTAAAAAAGTAAGTCCCCAAACGGGATTCAAACTAGTAACAATGATACTAATATCAATATCCCTCAAATGATAGAATGGAAAGATATTACTCTCCTTGATCAATGGATTACGGTCAATGAAAATTACAAACATAATCAACAACAATTCACTAGTCAAGATATTCAAGATATTCAACAATTTACTGACGGTTCAGTCCGTATTAAATTTAATCGTAGTCAATCTTTTAGACATAGTACTTCTAGTATACGTACTGATATTGAAACTGAAGATGAAATATTTAATACTCTTTTATTCCGAAAAAATAGTCAAATTAATCTTGGTCAACCCTCCCATAGTAAATTAAAAGGCATTGATAACCCTACCACTTCTCAAATTAGTAAACTTGTTTACTCTACTCACACACATTTACCTGAAGAAGATACTGAATCAAATAATTCTCCCACTCAAACTGATTTCGAAGTAATACCTCCAATCAATCCTCAATTAATGATAATTAGTAAATCTTTTGCTCCTGATTTTGATAAATTACATGCTGAATTTAAATCTAAAGAAAATAGGACTAAAAGACATGCTTATCGTGCTAAATATGATTCTACTCAACAATCTAAACTTACTAGAAAATGGTATGATTTTATGATTGAATATAGAATGTAAATTCCTTTCTTTGAATATTTAGACAACTATTATAAAAAGGTTAATACAATCACAAAACATAAATGAAAAATCTCTCCAAATACTTATGTTAGTTCTAGCCATCCTCCATTATATATATATATATATATTGTAATAGGCTTAAAATAGCCTATTATTTGAAATCAATAATTTTTCTTTTATTATTTTAAGTGTGTAAATAAAATCGGAATTCTTTTGGAATTGCTTGTTCCTTTCCAATTTCCAAATAAATTTGGCGGTGGGGTGGATTAGAAGATCCGACCCGAGTCTCACATATGTTATATGAAAAACCAAAACTACCCCTCTCCTCCAAAACAGATCATGTAAATCCCACAAACGCAACGGGACAGATGCATATTGATCTCTCTCACAGTAGTAGCAGCAGAAGAAGATATATATATACATATAGAGAGAGAGAGAGAGAGAGAGAGAGAGGAACAATGTGGAAGAGAGCCTCGATTCAGCTCCGAGCCCTAGCTCCATGGCGTCGTCTCCACCGATCCGCCGCCGTTTCCGCATCCACTCGATCCCTCACCTCCGCTTCGCCGCCCCCTCCTCACTCCTCGCCTTTTCAACAAACCCCTACGACTCTCTTCTCTCACCGCTCCTCCTCTGACTCTGGTAATCCGTCTCTCTCTCTCTCTCTCTCTCTCTCTCTCTCTCTCTCTAGACCTTGCATTTTCTTCAAACTCATCTAATTGTGTTGTATATATATATAAGTATGCATTTGGGCATGTAGGCATACATACATTTGGTTAGTTCTAAGAAGAGCATCTCCAATGCTTCATCAACTTTTTTTATCATATTCAAATTTGATGAAGAAGTGGCTAAAAGTGTGTGCTACAATTAGACCATCTCCAGCCCTTCACCAATTTTTTCATCTATTTTGATTTCCAAATTTGAGTAAAAAACTTGATTTGATATGAACTACTCCAATCTTTTAATCAAATGTTCATCAAAATCTTTTTAAAAATTCCTCTCTTATTCCAAATTTCACTTTTCATCAAATTCGAGGGGGGAAAAAATAATCATCTCCAATGTTTCATGTTTTTAAATTTTCATAAGATTCAAATTTGATGCAGGGTTTGATGAGTTTTCAACCTGATGAAAAAAATGACTCCCCTGATTCGATGAACATTTGATAAAAGGATTGGAGATGATTTTTGAGCACTTTTTCATCAAAAAGGTGAAGCTGAGAGACAAATTTTTCACCAAATTAAGGATTAACTAATCCTTTACCAGTCATTTTTTTTAACTTAAATTTGATGAAATTATAAAAAGAGTAAGGATTGGAGATAGTTTTCTTTTATTAAAAATGGTTAAAGCTGATTTTAGGATAAGTTTGGAATTTTTCAAAAAGATTTGATGAAAAAAAAAGAGAAAAATAATAAAGATTGGAGTACTCCTATCAAATTAAGTTTCTAACCAAGATTTCACTTGAATTTGATGAAAAAAGAAGAGTAAGGATTGGAGATGCTCTTATTGATTCGAAAAATCATTTAGTTGTTGATGGATGGCAGATATTATTCTGAAGGGGAAGAAGAGAGTTGCAGATGTTATGCCAATTGCTACAGGTCATGAGCGTGAAGAACTTGAGGCCGAACTCGAGGTTTTCTATTGTTTATTCAGTTCAATTCATGTGTCTAATACGTATGTGTAATACCATATACATTTGATAGTTTGAGAGAGAATTGAATCTGAATTTAATCTAATTCTTTCATTTAGGGAAGGAATGTTCTGGAGATGAATTATCCAGTTGGACCTTTTGGCACCAAGGTTTGAATTATTGGAACTTTGCTGTGTACTGTGATTTCTGCTTTACTTTGATTGTGCTTTCATTTGTACCCAGTGAGTTCTGCTTTATTTTGGTTAATTTACTATAAATTAGTATAATGCTTTATAACATTGCTTGTATGGTTGGCTTAGTAATTCATATATATATATATATATATTGTTTTTAACATATTGCATATGAATTACACTAACGTGAAATATTGTGCATGTCATATTGCATAAGTAGTGTCAGTTTTAACTTTGCCGGTGAGTGTTGCCTATCTTTTCTATAGATTCTCATGAATCACCGCTCGAATTAAAGGGCGATGTGATTTTTCTTTCATTTAAGATCCTCAAGTAACACCCCTTTTATAGTTATTTTCACAAATTCCCCTGCAAATGAAATTTGTTGTGTGGTTGACGATAATTATGATGAGGGAATAGTATTCCTTCGCTGTATTTCAATGTGCTCTCTGTTTCTTCCTTTTTTGTTTTTGGGTTCATACTTGGATTTTTGATATTTTTACAAACCCCATTTGATATTTCAAAATTTTTATTGCTGGATGTCTATGTTCTTAGTTGTTCACTATTCCTTGTTTGTCACTCTGCCCTTTTGTTTTACGAGAATTTGAATTTCCGTTTTTATATCTGCACTTTGCTTATATCAACTTGAGAAAGGGGGTCTTGAGACTGGTAAAGCCTTTATGAGTTAAGCCTCGGTACAAGAACAAAAGAAGTATTTTGGAGTGCATTCCTTTATAGTAGCATTGTTGACCTACTTATGCAGGTATGCATTCCAATGCATAAGGAGCATTGCCTGGTGTAATGATAAAAGCTTGGGTTGACAAGTTTGAGAATGCATGTTTGAGTATGACAGCAACTACTTTGTGCTGATAATATCAATTGATAAGTCTATCTCCAGTTTTACTGCTCCCAACACCTTTGATTAACGGGACCCATGACCTTTTTTTCTTCTTCAATGCAATCCAATGCATACATGCTATTTTGTTGGTGTGTCACCCACCCCGTTGTCAAAATTCTTTTTGTTTCAAGGATTTTTTTTTTTTTTTTTTTTGTGTGATAAATAATAGAACTTTATTAGAAAGCATCAAGACGATGCAAAGAATACAAACATGCCATTTGTGTGTTTTCACATTGGATGTTGGACACCTTGTCTTCTTGTGTGTTTTCACATTTTGGAAGGCTTCTAGTGCCATTTGTAGTGGATGAAAATCTGTAACCATGCCAATGGTAGTATTCTTGTTGTGGGCAGTGGAAAGTGGAATTTGAAATTTGAAAAAAATGAAAAATGAAAAATGAAAAATGGAGATTGAATTTTTATTTTTGCTTTTGTCTGGGCCACACAGGTCACCCAATGCATACAATTTGTACGTGGTTGGTAACAATCTAGGTGAAATTTTGTAATCAATTTGCAAATATATTATTCATGCAACACCATTAATAAGTTCAGTTATGGAGGGCAGATTGATGAACTGTGATCGTAATTTATTGATATAAGGTGCATGGTTGATTACTTATATAATATTCTCCTATACTTCTTGTAGGAAGCACCTGCTATTGTCCAATCGGTTTATAACAAAAGAATAGTTGGATGCCCTGGTGGCGAGGGAGGTAAGCCAGGGTCTTTGCTTATATTATTTTTAAGGCTAATTTCTTCATAGTTACACAAAACCAAATCCCTTTATTTTACTTTTGTTTTACTGTCAGTAACTGTTAGAATTTACCATTCACACTCACCTACTACACTCCACCTACCACCAATTTACCCTCACCTGCTACACTCCACCTACTACCAATTTACCCTCACCTACTCCTCACCTACTACCCAAACCCTCTCCTATATAATGAGCCACTCTGATTTGTAATAAAACAATCTTGTAACAATACAATCAATAATAATACATCAGTATTTTTTACAGTAACTAACCTTCTTGTAAATTATTTAAATTTACAGAAGATGAGCATGATGTTGTTTGGTTTTGGCTGGAGAAAGGCAAACCTCATGAATGTCCAGTATGTTATCAATATTTCATGGTAAGCAATTTGTTGATGGTCCCTATTCCTTCAAGGGAGCCCAAAGCAGTCACCTTTACGCTTCTAGTTTTTCAATGTCTTCCTTTTTTGTTTTTGTCTTTCTCACACATGGAATGGCTGTTCATCTCTATGACATTGTTTTTGGTCCAATTTCTGTAACATTTCAAAGCAGATATATTTTGATTCAGTTGAATCTCTTTTAACTTGTTATTTGATGTTTTACAGCTTGAAGTGGTTGGCCCAGGGGAATCTCCTGACTGTCATGATCATCACTGATCTTGCTTGCATGGGAGGGTGTACCGCTTGCTATTCTCTCAACCACCGTAATAAAAATATTTGTTAGATGATGAGAAAAGAGTTCCTTATGAGGCGTAGCTTCAATCACTTTCACCTTTTTGTTTGTTTTTTATGGATCATTGATTTTGCATCTATTGTGTCTGACTATGTTTGGATCGGTATATTTTTGGTTTCAGGGCCTACACATACATTTGATTCTTTTAGCCGTCTACAATTCATCTTGAAAAAATGATGGCTACATTAGATTTTTTTTTCTCGAAATCAATATACAAAAATACGTTCTGTATGATTTCCATCCTTCATGTACAGAATACCTTCGTTTCTGTTCGATTTTTGTTTGTGTTTTCTACTACAAATACAACAAAAGCTTGAAATACCTATGGTTTCATTTTTTGTGTGAAAGCGGTTTTTTAAAGTAAGAAACAACTCTTTGGTATTTTTTTTGAAAAGCTGGTTGTTTTGAGAAAATTTTTCGTGAAGCAGTTTTTGAGAACCATTTGGTCAAACAAGTGTTTTTGCTGCTTTCTATATTTGCTTACTTCTTATTATCCCATTCTATCAAATACAATACTGATGCATTCTAACTCAACTTTGATGGTATCGTAACCAAACTACACAGCTTTTGGGTGAATACAAACTACACAGCTGGTAAGGGGGAAACAGACAACCCGGAGTTTAGTTGAAGTTCATTTCAATGCAAAAAAACATTGGAACCATCTAAGTCTTATTCCAAGCTTGTGCAATCATTTAAATGGTGGAAGACAGCAATGATTTCACTGAAAACCGTTTGGCATCATCAGTGGAAAACCATGACTGCCTTTTGTGTCCGCGACACCATTTTCCAGTCTCTCTCTGAAGCTGAATCTTCTTCCCCTGAAATTCAACAAAAAGCTCTCCAAACCCTATCTTCCATCACCAAAGTCAGCCCCCCCAACCGCAACCTCCTTGCACAAACTGATGGCGCCATCTCCACCTTCCTCCTCCTCTCCAAGTCCTCCTCCCCCAGCACACAGAATCTTTCTCTCTCCATCCTCTTCAATCTCTCTCTAAACCCTAACTTAAAACAGACACTTGCAGACATGGAAACAATCACTCAACTCAACTCCGTGATCCTCTTCCCAGCCTCCCCCGAATCAAGCAAACTCGCCGCTTCCTTAATTTGCAGCCTAGCAATGCTCGACAAGAACAAGGCCCGGTTCGGTGTGGCAGGCACCGTCGAGGCGCTTGTCAAGGCTGTGTCAAGGCCTCGGGGCCCTGCTGCCCACCACCTGCTCAGCTCCCTGGCTGAGCTCGTGCAATTCCACGGGAACTGCACGTGTGCTGTTCGGTCAGAGGCTGTTCAAGTGCTGATGCAGGTGGTGGAGAGCACCGACGGCAAGGACCTGGCCGGAACTTCTCTGGCCATCCTCGGATTACTTACTAGGTTCGATGAAGGACTGAGTGCTCTGAGGAAGATGGACCAGATTGTGAGTTCCATGATGGACGTGTTGAAAGGGAGGTGCATGTTGAGCAAGGAGGGTGCGGCAGAGATACTTCTTCGATTGTTTGATGAAAGTGAAGGGTGCGTCAGGGATGCTCTGAGGCTGCCAGAGTTTACATCCGTGTTGGCTGATCTTTCTGTGAGGGGATCAGCAAGAGCGCGAGAGAAGGCTGGTTTGCTGATGAAGAAGATGATGGAGGCTGACTTGGATACTTATGGTGATGGGAAGCCCATGTTTCTGGAATGGCACTAATATAGAGTTTGGCTTTGACTGCTATTGATCATTATGATTTTCAATTATTGTACTATTGTTTAATTTGTAGTTTTGAATCTGTCAATGTTTTTGCAGTGACAATCCTTCTTCTTTTCTTTCTTTTGTTTTTTTTCCCCCTTTCTTTTTTTGTATTTATTAATAGAAATAAAGCTACTGGTAATGTGCATTATGATTATGCAGATGATGAATTGAGGTAATTGCTATGCACTTGAAGACTTTTTTTTTTTTTTTTTCTTTTGACTTGTTTTGTATGTTGTATGTGAAAGAAAATGTGGACTAAAGTGGTTGTGACATTTCCTAAGTAACATGAATTGGAGTTTTTGTACTTGGGGCATGTGTTATCATCAATGTGAAATGGGCACCGGATATAATCAGCAGTTAAATAAATTTTTGTTTTATCAGATATTGAAAGAATTCTCAAATAAGGGCCGGCCTTAACGAAGCATTAAAGTAGTTTTATTGCGTCCTGTCAGAGTTCTACGTAAATTGAAAGCTGATAATTAGAAAGTTTAAAATTAAAAACAGCTCTCTTTCAGTTTCTCAATAATCAACTTATTTAAATTATTTTTATTTCATAAATTGTAAGCAGAAATTATATCTCACTTTGACACTGTCAAAATAAAATAAAATAAAGATTGATAAGCCTTTTTTTTTTTTTTTTTTTCCTACATGGTGCATGATGTATGTTGCTTATTAAAGTTTAATTACTACTACAAACGGATGCTACTCCTTTGACAGATTAAGCCAATCTTGGCTCGCTGAAGTGAGATTTCTCTGACTTAGCAAAAGGGAAAGAATAATGCTTGGGACCCCCTTTTGGGGGTCACCCCCTCACCCCCTTTGTCACGTGGCGGGTGGTGATTGGAGGAGTAGGAAAAAAAAGAAAAAGAAAAAGAAAATGTAACCAATGAGAGAGAGGGGGTCAAAGGGGGTGGGGAAAAAAGTGGGGATGAATCATTGTTGAAAGGGAAAATGAAAAAGTATGCTTTCAATTTTCATGTGGATAACCAGGGTTATCTAATTCCTACAACTAAATACCTACTATTTACATTGTTACTTCTCCTACACTAAAACCATTCCATAAAATGTTGTTAATATTTTTCTTGGCATAATAAACTACTTCTATTAGCAATTTTAACATATTTTACTATTTAACAAATGTAGGTGGTGGGGATCCTCCACTCCCGTGTCATGTGACTACCAATGCAACTTGATTAACAAGCATGCTACCGCGTTCTAATTATATAAATATTAATCACATAATGCACCATTATCTAACACTTAATTGTTAATTTGAACTTATTAACCTCAGTGGGGGTGGTGGATAACACATGGATGGCAAAATTTTAATATAAAAAAATTGCCCAACATAATGTATAAGATATTCGAAATGTTTAGTCTAATCTTAATTTTGAGCCGTTCTTAAGATTATTATATTTGGAATAAACTAATTAGATTCTCGTACCAAATTAGTAGTGCCATCAGCATATCTTGATATGATGATCCATAAACTAAGATTGTTTTGGTCCCATCACATGATTATTCCCATACTAGAATACAAATTTAATTACGTACTTCATTCAATTAGCACATTTGATTTTTCTACTATATAACTATGATTCTCCACTTATTTTTAGTGTGGGGTATGGAAAGAGTTGACAAACTAAAGTGATGACATAAGTTGCATACACCAAGATAATTAAATTATTTTCTTTTGGTTGAAGGAAGGATTTCTTGCAAAGAATATAGATTTTTAGAGTTTGATTTTATTCACACACTATTAAGGTGTGTGAATAAAATACAAATTTTAAATGATTAAAAACAATAGAATATGTCAATAGATTTTTTAATAAGAGGTATGTAATTTTGGACCAATTATCCATTATATGATTTTATGTTTTTGTTAACAAATTTAAATTCAGAATTTCATCTTAAAATTTGTGTGCTTTCGAATTGTTTAGCTTTTAATTCTCATAATATTTATAATTTATCTATTGTTGATTATAAAAGGAAAACAAAAAAAAAAGACATACCTTTTGGACGAGTATTCTTTACTATAGATTTTTCTACCACGATTGATACTTCAATGATCTAATTTAAAATTGAAACAAATCATCAACATTTTAGGTGTAATTTAAACAAAACACACTATATTTCAATAATATTTTAATTTTAAACGCAAACTACTAAATTACACAAGGAAAAATTGAAGATATTTTTTTAGGTGTATATGACATTAGGTTCAATAATTGATTTGCTTTAGTTAATGAAGTATATTGGTGAAAAGTACAAACAATTATTTTAAAGAACATTTTTTTCTATTTTTATTCTTGTATTCTTTTTCTATCTTCACTTTTGTTCTCTATTGTCTCACGCTACTATCAATCACTACCGCCACTAGTAGTGGGCAACCGGCAACGACAAACACATAGACAGATAAACAGATAATAGAAATAATATAATTTTTTTTAAAATTGTTATTGATATATTTAGACAAAAAAATAAATAGAGTTTAAATTTGAAACGAGTCAAGTGCTCATTATATAATTTATTGACATAACATAAGACAATCCTTATCCACATTTCTTAATGACTGTCAATAATCATCCCATCAGTGTGAATGGAGCCATTAGTTCACACGACCCTTTCAAAAGTAGAACTACAAAAAGACGCCAAATTGGATAGGCCATCATTCTTCTTCTTCCTCTCTTTTTTTTTTTTTAAAAAAAAAAAATATATTTTTTTTTCAACAAACATTTCAGGTTCTCTTGCTTTAAATTCAGAATGACAAAACTATCCCTTTTCATCTCATAATAAATGAACAGTCAAAATTTTTTTTATCATTCTTTTATTCTTTCTTCCTCACTATTCTTTAGAGGTTTGAAGTGTATTCATATAGAAATTTAAATCATTTATAATATAATCTGTAGTAATTTGAATGACAACACATCACATCAAAAAAATAGAGAAATTAAAAGTTGAAATTTAAAGCAAAAGAGCAAAGTTAAAAACATCGTTTTGATATTATTCACTCAAGTCCAAATTGCATTTTAGAGTATCCAAAATTTTCGAACATGTTATCATAATATAGTTAAGGCTTGGTTTGGGAAGTGGGTTGGTTTTTTGACTTTTTTGGCTTTTTTAGCCTGGGCTAAAAAGCTTGGTTTGAGAAGGGCTTTTTGGCTTTTTGGATTTTTTGACTTTTTTTGTGAAAGAAGAGTGTAATGATTATGGGTTGAATGTGATGTTTTGTTTTTTGTGACTAAAATAGCCTATTTTATCTTTTGTGGCTAAAATAGCCAAAAAAGACCCCAACCCAACTTGCCAAACGGAGCCTAAAAGTGATACGGGGGGCAAATGGTGCAATTTTAAGATGGACATTTGTCAATTGAAGAGCATCTTCACAGTAAAAACAAACTAGTCCTGTCAACACATGTGTCTAGTGCATCACTCATAACATGGACAAGTAGCATCAAAGATTCCCTATGTCAACAAATAGATGTCACCCTTATCAACATATTCTTTCATAGCATAATATGGCATAGTAAAAATGTCATTTGTACCAAAATAATGGCCACATCAAGAGGCACTTATCATCAAATGGGATCACATAATGATTGAGTACCATGAAGAATATTTGACATAAGACAAGTAGTGGTCTATTTGATTACTATTTAGCTTCTAAAACTACCCACATTAATCTTTTTTTTCCCCAAAAATATTTGTAAACAAGACTTGTACCATTCCCAATTTCTCATTGTTTTTACAAGCCAACATTATGGGGGGCAACTTTGACTATGGTGTAGATTCAAAGTGATAAAAACAAAAAATGCTATCTATCATGTTAATTTATGGTGTAGATTTAAAGTGAGTGAGATGTTAATTGTCCCCAAAAATAATTATGATCTATATAGATATATATTTTTGAATAATTTTTTTTGGTACCTTGAATTAGGCTGTGTAAAATATCATTTAATATGCTAAAATAGTATCAATTCGCATCAATCCGCACCGCTCTATTTATTAATCGTGGATTAAACTTTCAATTTTGTAATTTGCATTCAAAATCGTTCCGCTCCGCTATAATTAATACATATATAATTTTGAATCTCTAATAAAATATCAAAGTAAAAATGAGTGTGAGAGAAATTTAAGATATGAAATTTGTTACAAATTAATAGTTATTTATATTAAACGTATTATGTAAAATTAGTTTGTGTTATATATATAAAAACTCTTACATAAATTAGTATTATATATTATATAAATATTTAATAATTGATTAGAATATTCTTCAACCTGTTAATCTATGTCAAACCATAATTTGTTAATCTACTATTCAATTTATAATTTAACCCTTAAATTGTCCAAACAGTACCACACACACCCTTCCTAAAATTATTGGGCTAAAACTTGTGGAAAATATCTACATGAAGTGCATTTTCGTCACATAAAATAGTTTTAAGAAAATGACCAGTTTTGATAGTGTCCCCCACCTTTCCAGCTTCTCTCTCCGTCCGTGTGCCTGGACCAGTGAATGAACTAACAAAACCAAAGCTTGGAACTACAAGACCATCCTTAGTTGTTGATATGGGAGATTATTTTTCCATTTACTAAGTAGCGTTTAAATTTTTTATTATTTAAGTAAAAATTCGACAGTTTCAGTTTAACTTGTAATGCTATGTCAAGGTGTACTGGGCATAATAAAAAAAAAACCAAAGCTTTGAGAGAGAGTGAGAGAGAAAAAGAGAGATTAAAAAAAGAAAGTAGGAAAGAAAAGGTAGTATATGTGCAGAGGAAGAGAGAGTAAAGTGAAAAGCCCTTGTGCTTTTGGATTTGCTCTACCCTTGAACACCCTACCCTCCAGGTCGGTTCAAAAGCTAAAACCCCACCTCCCTTTCTCATCTCTCAATTCATCAATATATATATATATATATATATTTTTTTTTACCCCCATTTAGATCAGATCTTTACTATATCTGCTAAACCCTTTGAGCTTCTAGATTTGTGGTTTATGGTTATTCATTATTCATCCCTTGTATATCAAATGAAACCCAAAGAAAAAAATAAAGGAAAAGTTTTATTTACAAACAAACACACATATGTGCCCTTGTATATCAAATGAAACCCAAAGAAAAAAATAAAGGAAAAGTTTTATTTACAAACAAACACACATATGTGCAAATGTTTTACATTATAAATGGGTATTGGGTCTGAAAGATGGGATGGTTCTTTGTTTATTGTGGAAATATTCTTGGGTTGTTGTAGTTGAGTTGCTTTTCTTTCGCCATTGTTTACAAGAATATATTCTCTCAATGTGCGGCGCGAACCAGTGACCTTCTAGATTTAGGTGGCTCATGGTTAATTTTTGCACTGATGTGCTTTTGTGTGTTGTGGATTCTTTGCTCATAAAGATTTCCTTTCTTTATCTTTCCTTTTCTTGGGTGTCTTTTTCTTTCTTATTGACTTTTAGGCAGTTTCAGCTAGTGTTTAACTGGTTTACACTAAGCGTAGCTGATGCCGATTCTTGGGTCATATTCCATTTTGACACTCCAAAGTGGGTATAAATAGACTTGCTCAAGTTTGGTTTTATTCATTGCAGGACCTTTTCTTTATCATTGCCACAAGGGACTGGATAGTGTAATTATTTGCGCAGTAAGATGAGCTTTGGTAGCACCAGTGGAGGTTCTGGTTAGTATTTTTCCCCGTCAGTATATATTCTTATTTTATCTGGTTATATATGGAATGTGAATGTCTATCAATTCATAGTAATTCTTCAGACTCTACCTAGCTGGTTCTCCGTTAAGCGGCATAATGTGTTTTGAACTTTGTTTCTGCAATGTTTCAGGTAGTAGAACTTCTCAAAGGACATTTGAGTTTGGAAGAACCCATGTGGTCAGGCCTAAAGGGAAGCACCAAGCTACTATAGTTTGGCTACATGGCCTTGGTGATAAGGGATCAAGGTAATAATGCTCGTCTTGCATTGCCATTGTCCCCTCTGCCATTAATGTTTCTATGGTTCTGTTCTAAACTGAGATGATTTTAATACAAATTTTATTTGTTGAAACTTGAATTTGGAAATTGTTACCAAATTCATATTTAGCTTTATTTTTGAGACCACATATATAATAAGTCAAAGATTCATTATTTGGCTTGAATATAGTTTTTGTTGATGTGCTTTGTGTGAGAATATGAGTGTTAGAACACTCATATTCTCACACTTTGATCTATAGTTTGTGATATGAGACTGTGGAATCAGGGATTGTGTGGTGCTACCAATCAGCATTATGATCCATTTCTGAATCTGGATTTCTTTCCTTTCTGAGAAGTTCTGCTAGGTTCTTAATAGCAATGGAGACCTAAAGCATATGATATGACCATAAGTCTATAGTTTGATGAAAATATTAAACTAGTTTTGTTTCAATAAAACAGAAAGAAGTGTACAAGAAGATGTCAAATTCTTGTCCTGTTCTTATGGAGTTTGATATTAAATTAACTTCTTGAACTCTAGGCCATTCTAGAATATTCTCATTCTTGATTGATTTGATGGAAGAGAGAAATAACACCGTGAACTAAACAAAATATTCTTGGTTGTCTTTTTCTCTTTATCCCCTTTCTTGATTCTAAGGTGTTATGCATCAATTGGGGGACCACTTGTGCACTACCCTGGTAATGCTTTCAACTTATCTATCAAAACTAGTTTAAGGTTTATAAAAAAATAACTAGTTTTTCTAAAATATTATGAGGCGATCAGATTGACCAGAGGTTTAATGTGCTCATACTCATGCACTATCCTGGCATATCTGTTAGCATACTTTATGTTTTTTTGCCATTATTGGAAAGGCCTGTTCTCAGCTTTGAGGGTGGTCCCAAAGCTTGTTAGACTGACAATCTGACATGATTTCCGTGGATGTTTCTTGCATTATATTATAAGGGGCTTCATAATTCTTGAGGAGTGTTCACAACTAGGGTTGCAATTGCTTTCTCATTCTGACATGATTTCAGTGGATGTTTCTTGCATTATATTATAAGGGTCTTCATAATTTTTGAGGAGTGTTCACAACTAGGGTTGCAATTGCTTTCTCATTTTTTTCTTTTTTGTTTAGTTAAGCACCCAAATGATTAGACAAGGTGGTCAACATAGTGTTCCTTTACTTATTTGTTGATTTGTTTTTCAGCTGGTCCCAGCTCTTGGAAACTCTTCCTCTTCCTAATGTAAGTGATAAGTATTTAATTTTAGTCATTTAGCAGCTCATGTAACATTGGTCTCCCTTTTGATTATTGGTTTTTAGTGACTATAGCATCTTTTGCTATTAAAACCTTCGATGCAGATTAAGTGGATCTGTCCAACTGCTCCTACTCGACCAGTAGCTGTATTTGGTGGATTTCCTTGCACTGCTTGTAAGTTTTTATTGCTTTGAAAGCCTGCCATATTTCCTTGTAGTTCAAAACCACTTAAAAAAACTAAGGTTGCTATAAGTTTTACTAGTTATTCAGACCTAATTCAAATGTAATCAGTTGTATTATCTATATTTCCATCTCACCAATTCAATGTTAAGGTCCTTTTTTCTCTTCTTGTGTTTGAATATGAATGAAGATAAAGTACTGACTTTCTTCACATCAGGGTTTGATGTAGGAGATATTTCAGAAGATTCACCTGATGATTTGGAGGGATTAGATGCTTCAGCTGTACATGTTGCAAATCTCTTGTCAACAGAGCCCCCTGATAGTAGGTTATCCTTTGGTAGTTTTCTGAGCACACACACAATAAAAGAAGTTAATATAAGATTGCGGAGTTTAATGCTTGAAAAGAGAAAAACTAAATCTAACCATTATGAAGGTTTTATTGACCTCTGCTGAGTGATTCTGTTTCTCTCTCTCTTTCTATCAAGATTGAGAAGTTCAAATCCTTTTATTTCTTTATCTTCCAGCCCCTCTTGATTTCTTTCTAATAGACCAACAAATCTGTTAGCTTGTCATGTTTATTTTGCAATTATGAAGTATAAAGCTATGCTTCCGGTATGGAAAACTTATGGGGTTTGTTGTCATGGATGCCGAAGTTATTTATTTATCCTTTTCTTAGATGGTTAAGAGGTAATAAAATTTTTCATTGGTGAAAAAACTCACATGTTACTGAAATCTATGTAAAGCACAATACATTGGCTTGAATTTGTGGGATGTTGGACATTCTCCCTCAACTAAGACATTCATGTTTGCTCGGTAATATATTAGGCATTGTTCTTGAATTCCTATTGCATGGATTTGTTTGATGCTTTGATCCTATGTTACATGGACTCAGATATGAGTATTGGGTGTGGGTGTGGGTGTGTGTCCAAGTTTTAGATATTCCTAAACCAAAATACTAAGATATTGGATAAGCATCCAAAAGTTGGATATGGGTATGGGGATACTCCTTAAACACCTACATATATTGCATATCGTCGTATAATACTCTTAGGTAAGATGTTGTAAATTATTTAGAAATTTACTTCAAATTAAATGAGATTTAGGAAAATATGGAATTTATATCACCCATATGTGTGAGAAGTTAGAAAAGTTTCTTTAGTAGAAAAAATGAGCATCTTTTCTTCATACATGTTAGAATTTACCAATTTGCTCCTCCACCTACCATCTCCACTAGCACCCACTTCACCTACCACCTCCACTACACTACACCTACTACCACCTTCTCTTCTATATATAGGAGTTGTAATACATAACACAAATCAATCAATCTTGTAACAATCATCAAAATATCAATCAATAATATACATCAATTTATTTTACAATACATAATATAAAATTAGAGGATTCAAGTGTCTAAATTGGGTACGTGTAGGGTAAGTGGAAGACTCCATGTAACATAGCTTTGACCACATGTTTTAGGCATTAGACATAAATGCTACAATTTTTAATTTTTTTGATTCGGATTACAAAATTGAAACATGGCTTGTTTGGTTTGTTTCTCCGAAAAAAATTTCAGAATTTTTTTTGAAACAATGGAAACTAATTTGATAAAAATAAATACCAAAAAAATATTTTTAAAATTATTTTTGGCCTCCTAAACTATAAAATTATATAAAAATGATGCGTGTTTTTTTATTTCTTTCACTAAATTAATTTTTAATTTAAAAAAAATAAATTTGAAACAAGTTTCTAAAAACCAAACTAAACCAAACTTAACTTTACTTTTTAATGTTAAATCACCAATTGTTCCAAAAGCTTAAGCTTTTAAGCTTTGAAAGCTTATTATCTCAAAGCTTAAGCTATTAAGAAATGGGTTCAGCAATAGATGAAACGATTTTGCAATATTTTTTTCTCTCTTCTTTATGGGTTCGTTCTTCTAACTTTTGTGTCGAGAGTACCTATTGCAAAGTAAACTCACAATTGTTTCCCTTTTTACCCTTTTACTCTAATGTCATATTTTGTTATTATCCCTGTTAACTTGTTCCTATATCTATGAATCACTGATATGGGATATAGACACGATGTGATATGGATACAACGATATAACAAAACCTAAAAAAATAGGATAGGGTACGGTCATAATATGCCGTAATTTTTTTTTTATTTGTTTATAATGTTTAGTATTATCATATACAAGCTCAAAGACATGGAGAAACCATTCTTTAGGAATTAAGTATTAGTTTAAGAGGTAATAGTTTGTTTTATTTATTTATTTTTTTAATGAGTATAAATTGTTTATATTACCCTCGTGCTTTTCTCTTTCATACTTGAAAGTGTTACATGCAAAAGTATTGTATGCAAGCTTATTTATTTGTTTACTTGTTGAAATATGATTTTAGTATCATTATGTTTTCTTATTTATCCTTACTTTCTTTAAAGTATTGATATGGATATGGGACACACAGATGAGACATTAAATATACGTCAATTCGATGAATTACAAAAAAAGGTAGGTAGTACTTTGATTTCACTATTTTCCTTTACTCTAAAAAGAAAGCATAGTACTGAAAAATTATTCTTGTATTTATCGAAACAATTATGTTCTAATGCTATGCAAAAATCATTACAATATCAATTTCATAATAGTTCCAAAACATGATCTAGATTTTCCAAGACATATCCGATACTTCTCAAAATTATAGAAAATTAATTTACAAGTATCGGATACATATATGTGAGTGTATCGGATATGGATACGGATACGATTTCCTTCTAGAAGTATCCGTGCTTCATAGTCCTACATTCTCCTATTTATTTTTACTTGCGGTTTTTGAAATATAACTAAATTTATAGTGGATATCAGTCAGTCAACATAGTTTGTGAAGATTAATAACAAAACCAACAATAAGTAGTAATTTCACCACAATGACAACATTGGGCCTCGCTGACTTCTAGAAACCTGAGATTCAACACATGATAATTTAATTTTATTCTTTTCTGTTCTATTGTTAAATCTTTACCCTCATATTGATATAAAGCATTCCTGTGAACCATTAATTAACCTCTGCCAGGATGTGTATGTCTAAGATGCACAATTGGCTGTTGTCTTGTAGAGATATTGCAACTGCTCCATAACATCTAATATCCTATCATTGTTGTACAGTAAAATTAGGTGTTGGGGGCTTTAGTATGGGTGCTGCAACTGCCCTATACTCTGCTACATGCCATGTTTTTCGACAATACGGGAATGGAAGCCCATACCCGGTCCACCTAAGTGCAATTGTTGGTCTCAGCGGCTGGCTTCCATGTTCAAGGTTTGGCTTTGGTCCTTTATGATTGAGCATTTCATCTCTCTCTCGCTCTCTCTGATTTTATTTTTATCTATTCTGTGGTTAAGCAATTTATTCAACTCAGCAGCTATTACTTATTTGTTTTCTAGGACTTTGAAGAACCGGTTGGAAGGGTCAAATGATGCGGCAAGGCGTGCAGCATCCTTGCCCGTTTTGCTCTGTCATGGCTTAGGTATTTTTACATATATGTATGCTGTATTTAATATTTATATTCCAAATTTTGGTTCATGTTGGTACTCACTTTATTCTTGCACTAAAGTCATGGAAATGAACTTTGAAGTGGTTTTCATAATATTTTGGATGCAAAATGTTGTCTTTTGTTTTTACTTTAGCATTGGCCATAACAAACTTTTGTCCGTTGTGTTTGATTTACTAGAAATACATACAATTTTTTTGGATATCATGTCAGAAAAATTTGTAATATAGTTAGTCTCTACATTATTGAGGGTTATATTGATGATTTCACTGTTTTTGTTTTGTCTCATCTAACAATGCAAAACGACCAATTTCCACACTCTTACATTATGTGAGCAGTGCGTGTGCATACACACACTATGTGACCAATTTCCCTTGGACATGCTCGTTATGGATATTATCATTCCTTGTTTTAATGCTCATCTTGACATCCTTCTAAAGCCGTATTCATCTTTGTGTATTTGAATTGTATAGACCTCTTCTCTTAATTCTAGTCGATCATAAATTCATCCAATTTAACCTGCCCAATAGTAGGGGGCTATCTATGTACTTACATATCCCCCCAAAAAATAGGGAAACTATGGAGAAATCATAAAATACCATTGGTCAGACACAACCATGTGGTGTTCCGGACCCATATGATAATTTCTGCCATATGAGAATAAATCACCACTTCAATATTTCTTGAAACTAACACTTATGTTTCTTAACCTATATCTCGCTTGCTGTTAGCCTTGCCATGTGTGTCTACATAGCTTGTATATGGTTTTAATTCAACAAGTATAACAAGTATAGGTGGTCTTCACATTTTTTTGGGTGTGGATTCATTTAGATTTTGAGGTTTAGAGGCTATTTGATTTATCAGTATTCAGAAGGCCTCCAATCAGTTGAGTTGTGAGAAATATTGTTGGAAATATCACATTTAGAAGGCACTATGGAGCTTGTAAGACATCGAGTTCCCTACCGGAGACGTGTTAAGCCCCAAATCTTACATCTGTCACCAATCCTGGGGAAACATCCCTCTTAGATTAAACTGTCTCATATAGTAAGTGATTTTGCTATTGCCTCGTTGCTAAGAGCATCTCCAACCATATGCTATTGCCATTGCTATAATTTGGCAATGAATAGTGTTATTTTGTCAAATTATAGCAATGGTGCTCCAATGGTTATTCGTTATTTTAACAAATCTCAACCAATTTTCCTTCCAAATTTGTAGGTATTATTTGGATATAAATTTTTTTGTGATTTTATTTTTATTTATTTTTTGTCTTTTGTGACATTTTTTTACCTGTTTGTTAAAAAATATATATATTTATATTATTCCCAACTAGACAAATATAAAAAATTAACACTTCAATATTTCTTGAAACTAACACTTATGTTTCTTAACCTATATCTCGCTTGCTGTTAGCCTTGCCATGTGTGTCTACATAGCTTGTATATGGTTTTAATTCAACAAGTATAACAAGTATAGGTGGTCTTCACATTTTTTTGGGTGTGGATTCATTTAGATTTTGAGGTTTAGAGGCTATTTGATTTATCAGTATTCAGAAGGCCTCCAATCAGTTGAGTTGTGAGAAATATTGTTGGAAATATCACCTTTAGAAGGCACTATTGGCATGTTTGATTGGAAGGATTAGACCATGGGATTGGGATTATTAATCCGCGGGTCCAATTATCCTATGTTTGTTTTGACATTTTGTTTTAGGATCATCAATCCAATGGATAATTAATCCAACAAATAAATTCGTGTTGATTTTTGCTGATCTGGCAAGCTTGGCATCTGCTATTTCGGTTGCCAAATTTGAGAACACATATGGCATCTGCCATCTTTGGCAAGTGAAATAGCAGACCGTTGGAGACAACTCTTTGCCATTCCTGTCATTTTTTAGCTTTGGCAACTGATATAGCAGCTCCCATTGGAGATGCTCTAAAGCTTGGGAAAACTTCAATTTATGATAGATTGCCAAATTTGCTTTTATAGGTCATTACTTCCATAGTTTCCACATCCGTTCAGTATGCCTCTTGGGGACAGGAAATTAAATAAGTTAGACAGACTTATTTGCCCTTGTTGGAAATTAAATAAATAAATTACAACTTGTGAGACTTGAATGGCTTATCTGCTGAAAGGAGGATTCAGAGGAATTTTCAGATACAACAGGTTTCAAATATGTTTCCAAATAACTTTAACTTGTAGCTTATTTATGTAAAGAGATTCATATCAATGTAATTTTGCAGTAATATTAGTGGAGCATATCTGAGTATTTTGTCAAATTGGTGTTGTCTAGAAAAATTGGAAATACGAAGTGATATAATTCAAGCAACATCTCTAATGTGGTTGGTAGAAGCACTGTCAAAACTCTCAACAATGAATGAATGAAACATTGTTAGGAAAATAATACGCAGCATGTTCTTCTCCAACTAATTCTCGAAAAATTGTTGGTGGTTTTGTATCCTTTGCCACATCTTTTGTATTTTAAAATATGTCAATTTGCACTCTTATTTAAGTGGTGACTTGATCAACAGTCAACACAAAATAGAAATATCTTTAGAAAGTTGTAGTTCATGTCACTTTTTTGTTTCAGGTGATGAAGTAGTCGCATACAATCACGGGGAGAATTCTGCACAAACATTAAGCTCGGCTGGATTTCGCAATCTGACATTCAGATCATACAATGGGTATTTAATTCCTTTTTTTTTTTTTCTTTTTTTTTTGGTCTTTTTTGGCTTCATTGAGGTCTGGTATGTTGGTGTGTTATCAATATCAATTTGTTGAATGTTTTGCTTTTACAATGCAGGCTCGGTCATTACACCACTCCTGAAGAGACTGATGAAGTTTGTAACTGGCTGACCGCGTGGTTGGGGCTTGACGGGTCACGGTCATAATAATGGAAAATGTCAGTGAGGAAGCTTGGTACGGGGTATACATGAAGAAGAAAAATAAAAAAAAAAATCCATAGCGACTAGAAGGGCGACTTAGTTTAGATATTGGCATGGGGTATATATGGTATACTTGCATCGTTCAATCTGTTATTCCCTCTCAGTCTCGTCTTTCCTAAAATAAAAATTCTCTATGGCTCGCTTTTGTTTTTTGAAATCAATGTTTGTTACTAATAAAATCATTTGTCTTTTATTTGTTTTGGGTATGGAGCTGTTTCTCATTTTTTATTTTTCAAATAATTTTCTTTTATTTCTCCCTTTCCTTATTAGTGATAGTTGAGCCATGGATGTATTTTGGAAGTGCATTTCTATAAATGTTGTATTTCATTGTGTTGTCCCTTGTTCCATTTTTCACCTACTTTAAATTATTGCATATCTTAGATATGGTAGCATTGGTGGTTTTCAAATGGATCTGGGGAAAAACAAAACAAAAAAAATTATGAATCTTCTTGGGCTGAGAATTGGAATAACTGAATAGATGGATCTGTAGTTATCAGAATCTCAATTTGGATCATACTAGAATCTTAAATTCACTAGATGAAAAGGTGCGGTTTCATTCTACTCATTTCATCGGTTCTATTGACTGAAATGAGTTCAGGCTTACAGTTTCTGGTCTATTGCTGAGCTTTGGTCAGGCATAAATTGATGGAGGGTCATAGCTCAGCCCAATAGGCATTAGAGCATCATCAATGATCTTAATTTTAGTGCGAAAATGTCTAGTTTTAACAATATTGCTCTGATAATGCACTGAAAATCTATTATATGTTCTTTTTACAGAAAGTCAAATGAAAATATCATTGGTAAAAGAGCAAGGGACAAGCTCTAGTCAAAATTTGGACATCAAACCTGTACAAATTTGGCACAAATTTTAATATTATTTTTTGACAACCCTTTGACACGCCATCAGAACTCTATTTCACAATAACAACCAAGAGTTTGATTTTGAGTAACCATAACATCTTTGACATCTATTATTACTTGGTTTAAGAATGGGTTTTGGCTTGAATGCTGCTTACAAGCTCTGGTCGATGAATTTGAGGGGTTTTCTGATACTTCAAAAAGAAATCCAAAACACATATTTTCACTTAAAACTTCATCCAAAAAACATCAAAAATATACTTTTAACATCACCCAATGCTTGAAATGAGCTCCTATATTATGTTAATTTTGGACTTCGACCATTCTCCTGCGCGCATAAAACAGACCATTCAAAAACAATTCAAGCATATAAAAACATATCAAAACCACAAAATCACTCCAAGGAAAAGCAAGCAGAGGTTTATGCTTTTGTTTAATCAAATGGATCAATAAATCTTCAACTAAACGGTACTCACGTGAGTAAGGCCATGTTTTTTACATGTTAATGACTATCACATGCATCATCGCTACAACAAATCTCGAACAAGAGAGCAACAATGGCCAAGCTGGCAGCCCTAATGATCTCACAGAAAAAGAAATGCATTATCGCTGTTGGAACAATTCGTCTTGTATTCTTCAATTGGTGGTATTCGGGTCTTCAAAACTTGGCGATGAAGTTGTCTATGTAGAACAGAAATATGATGCTTCAAGTCGCGTTACTTAATTGCTTTCCTAAAAATAATATTTGCATACACCAAAAGGTGTGCAGGGGGTTACAACAAATTTGTCTCCAGGATATAATGAAACCTGATCAAAAGATCAAGTCTATCGACATCTGCACTGACGACAATAAATCAAAATACTCTTGATATAATCAAGAAAACCAAGACACCGATAATCAAATATGTAGAACTTGATTACAAATAAGAAAAGCATAAATTTGCTTAAGAAACTCTTGATCGAAAACTCAAAATCAAGAGGGAGAGGGAGAGGGAGAGGGAGAGAGAATTGCAAGAATGCTTCTGATTTTTTTTTTGGATGGAATGAAATGGCTGATTTCGCAACCTATTTATAGGCCTTGATGCACCTGATCGAATGGTCGTGTCCCTTGATCGCGTCCGATCAGATCTGACCGTTGGATCGACGATCTACGATGTAGATCATTCTCACACTGAATAGATGCCTTGACTAATCACACTTGATCATGATCGGGTGTCAGCTCATTCGTACGATCGCACGCATCTTCAATCAACAACTATGATCAAATCACTCCAGATCGAACATACAACCGTTCGATCGGTTGGTTGACTCACAGCCAACGGACGCCACATCACTGCCACGTGAAGCTAACTGCATTCCACGTCACCCATGCTATGTTGGATCCACGTCATCGCTCTAACCTGTCCGATGCAAATATGAAAGCACCCTCATGGCGCCTTGCGCTAATGCGTTCGAGCAAAGTGCAAAGTGCGCCATCAAACTCCACACAGGGCAAAGTGCAAAGTGCGCCATCAAACGCCACACAGCCCACTGCCTACGCCACGTGCGCGTGTACGGATGGTGCGAAGCATCATCCTTGCGGTGTGAATGCATGCATACTAGCTTTCACCTCACAATTCCATATTCAAAAGAATATTCCATGTAACACTTTATTAAGTGCTCCATGTTTTCTTCTCTTTCCGATGTGGGACAAAGCCCCAAACTTATTTCGTGCTTTCCAAAAAAAAGCATGAAAGGTTTTGAAAACACCCAAAACTAAACTATAAATTTTAAAAACCATTTTGAAAATTCCCCAACATTCCCCCACCATTTTCAAAATACCAGTTGATAACTCCTGGTTCACTTGGCAGCCTTATGCATAGGTGAAGATATCTTACGATTTCAATCATTCACTTAGTGAAGACATCTCAAAGTTAGTCAGGATGACATAATAGACTTGTCTTTGAACTAGTAATCTTATACGACTAATTGGACATGTCTCACGCACAGTACAAGTTACCTCAAGTATTCAAACAAACCGACACGTAGATTGGCCTTGTGTCTATATCCTGTTTCATGAGCACTCTAGGCTCAAGCTCTTGGACTCATAAGAAGCGGCACCACCTCCTACACTCACATAGGTAAGCTTACTAAGAGTACCCTTGTAATTTGTAGTACCCTAACAACTCAATTGTAAGCTTATTAAGAGTTTGGTAACTCATCCTCTTCTTTTCACATTACAGGTACCAAGCACTTCAACCTTGGGATGAAAATGAAATAAAACTAAGTGCTTGCAATCACGACATATGGTGTACTTGGGCTCTTTGAACTCAAGACTTGATGTTTCTTCAAGCGTTGAGTCAAGTTTTCACCAGAAGTGATTATGTTAAGTGGGTTTAAGACCTATCCCCTTTGATGTTTTCCACACCAAATCCCTTGCAAGTCCCTTTGTTAAAGGTTTAGCCAAGTTTTTACTTGACTTTACATAACTAATGATAATCACACCTTTTGTGATTAACTACCTGACACAGCTATGTCTCAGTCCTATATGCCTGGACTTTCCATTATAGACATGGCTATAGGCCCGTGATAGAGTTGCTTTACTATCACAATGCAAAGGTATTGGCGGCATAGGTTTTGGCCATATCTTAATTTCTAACAAGAGATTCCTTAGCCACTCTGCATCTTTGCTACAAGATGCTAATGCTACAAACTCAGACGCCATGGTTGAGTCTGTTGTGCATGTTTACTTCTTAAAATCCCAGGAGATAGCTCCTCCTCCAAGAGTAAAAATCCAACCACTCGTGGATGAGTGATCTTCACGATCAGTTATTCAACTAGCATCTGTGAATCCTTACAGCACTGCTGGATAGCCATTATAGACTATTCCATAGTCTATGGTTTTCCTCAAGTACCCAAGTACTCAGTTAATAGCATGCCAATGCACACTACTGGGATTACTAGTGTATCTACTAAGTTTTCCCACTGCAAATACAATATCAGGTCTAGTGCAAGTCATGGCATACATCAGGCTACTTATTACTCTTGATTATTCTAGCTGATCAATAGCTCTTCTAGTATTAGGATACAATTTCAAATTTGAATCAAAAGGTGTAGAGATGGGTGTACAATTATATTGATTAAATTTCTTAAGAATTTCCTCAATATAGTGCGACTGGATTAGAATCAAATTATTGTCCTCTCGTTTGATTTTAATACCCAGAATTACATCAGCCAAGCCCATGTCTTTCATACTAAAGCTAGACGACAAGAAACTTTTAGTACTTTCAATGACATCATTGTCAATACCAAAAATAAGTATGTCATCTACATATAGACATATAATTACACCTCTATTGCCAGTAAACTTACTATATACACACTTATCAAATCCATGTATCCTAAAGCCATTTGATAGTATTACTTTGTCAAATTTTTCATGCCACTGTTTTGGAGCTTGTTTCAGTCTACATAGTGACTTCACGAGTTTACACGCTTTGTGCTCTTGACCCTGTATAACAAATCCTTCCGATTGTTGCATATAGATTTCCTCATCTAACTCTCCATTTAAAAAAGAGGTCTTAATATCTATTTGATAGATTTCAAGCTTGTAAATTAAGGCTAAGGCAATCAACACTCGAATGGTGGCAATTCTAGCCACTGGAATATATGTATCAAAATAATCGATACCCTCTTTTTGAGTAAAACCCTTAACAACTAATCTTGCTTTGAACTTGTCAATTGTGCCATCAACTTTCACTTCCTTTTGAAAATCCATTTACAACCAATTGGTTTGGATCCAAGTGGCAAATCAACAAGTATCCAAGTATTGTTACCCATGATAGAATCCATTTCATCGTTTATTGAGACTTCATAGCCTGCTCAAAGGTTAATGGATCTGAATCCATATTCAAAGAAATCATTGTTTGCTTACAAAAAGCTTCCCTAGTTCCTTTTACAAGGTAAACAATGAAATCAGGGCCAAATGACTTCTCAGTCCTAGCCCTCTTATTCCTCCTTAGCTCAACAGGCTCATTTTGTTTATTAGGCTCAATGTGTTCATGCCGTTCACTTTTCTCTGTAGACATCAAAGGAGTTTATTGATTTTCTTGATTAGAATCCAACCTTAGAGTGGTTATGAAATAATTCTCATAAAATACCGCATCACGTGATTCAATGATGGTATTTGTTTCCACTGAACCATTGGGCTCTACTACCAGAAATCTATATGCTTTGCTATGTATAGCATAGCCAAGGAATATGCATTCAATTCCTTTTTCACCTAATTTCTTCTTTTTAAGTTCAGACAATCTGATTATTGCTCTACAACCCCATATTTTCAAGTAACCTAGATTAGGTTTCTTGTTTTTCCAAAATTCATAAGGAGTAACATTTCTTTCCTTGAGAGGAATTCTATTGAGTATGTAACAGGCAGTGAGCAAGGCTTCACCCCAAAAACCAGAACTTAAACTGGAGTAAGAAAGCATAGCATTA